ACAACAATCAACAGAACATCCAATCATCCATGGACTTTCACACCACCCATGCATACAACAAGGTCCCGCCACTCGGGGCCTCACACACACACCATGCGTGGACAAAGCAGGAATGGAGATAAAAGTGAGTCCTCCTTGTACAAAAACGTCTTCACACAGCTGGCCCAACTAGGCGCAGCCCCAATCCATCAAGGCCACCGACAACCATAGCCACAAGGCCCTGACGCTGCCGGCGTCTGATCTCCACCGCCGCTCTGTCCGTTCGGCTGTCACACCCCGAGTCCACCGCTAAGCCCGACCCGCATCGTCACTCCGCCCGTTACAGGGGCTCATCAAGCCTGTTCGGCGCCGCGGACCTCGCGCATCATTGCAGCCGAGATCAAAGAGAGGGAGAGGAGGGGGTTGCGAGAATTTATAGCGCGGGAGGCGGCGGGGCATCGGCGCAGGGCGCGGGGAGCAAGGGAAGGGCGGGGGTTCGAGAAAGGTCGATGTCGAGAAGTCTTCTGGTCCTGCGTGATTGGTTTGATCGTTCAAGTGGTGCGCGCATTTTCGCACCTTCCACATTGATCCGAGCATCCCAAGCACTCAGCCAATCGTTCTCGGCCAAAGGCGAGGAGGGGATCGGGCTTGCGTAAAGGAAGACGAAAGGTCCATGCATGACGAAAGCGCGCGCAGCAAGAAAGGAAGATGACTCGGGGATGTGAAGCAAGAGAAAGAGTTTGCATAGCGCGCGAAAATTCGAAAAAGCAGCCGTGCATGCAAAAATCCGAAATTCCCCATTTCCTTCCCCACTAAGTCCTAACCGTTTCTTGAAATTCGACGCGCCCGCTATTCGGCCGCGCGAAACTTATTCCCAGCTACCAGTTTAAAGAAAAAGAACAGCGAGAAACAAAAACGAAAGCGAAAAAAAGAAAAAAACCCATTGTTCGTATTCACACTTCGGGGTTTTCGGAGGGTTTTCTCCTCAAGGGTACGGAAAGCCGCGAAGTACGGATCTGGGCTCATCACAAGCACGTGCATTTTGGGCAACTTCTTGTCCAGATGCAGTGATAACGACCAGCCATTCTATGCAGGGAAAGATGGACTAGGTTGTTTGTGGTCTTCTTTCCATAGTATCAGTTAGCTTTCGCAAACGGACCCGGCGTCTGAAGGTACAAGGAACACATCACAGTGAGCACACCAAAATTATCTTGGAGTTACCCCTCCCCCCGCCTCCAAACCCCCTGTCCACTTCATTCCCCTTCCCCACATGGTCAAAAATTCTCAAAATGACAAATAATATCATGGTCAACTGTTACAAAAAAAGAACAATGATAAACTTCCAAATGGGGGGCTGAACGGGTAATATGGGAGGAGGGGAAAGGAACAAACAAGGCAGAAGAAGCCAGGAGGAGGAGGAAGAGAACTTAGAGAAGTGATGACAGGGATCAGGATCAGGAGAAGAGGACTTGGAGGAGGAGGAGGAGGAGGATGCATAGGGAAGAAATCATACCATGATGGACCTTATTCGCACCCGCGGGACAAAAGGCACGATCGAAGCAGCAACATAGGCTTTTGCGGCTTCAACATCGGCGGCAAATGCGGCAAGGTATCTGAGCTCAATGCCGGTAACAACGTCAATATCGACTCCTGCTAATGCCTCCAAGAACTCAGGAGAGTGGTGAAAAATCTTCACAGCATTTGCCTTTGAGGCCTTCAAAATCTCCACGACCTTGTAGAAAGGCAGCGGATTGCTAGAGAATCGGATCCCAAAGTTTACACCGACTCCTTGCCGGACCTGTTCGCCATTTTCTAGATTTGCTAAAGGGGATGGCACTGATAGTGATGCTTCTCCTCCTTCGGCGTAGAGGTGTCCATAACTTGGGAAGGTTAATGGACCAGAATGTCCGAGCACAAGTGAGGAGGTGGGCAAAGCTCCAAGGGAGATCCATCTCAAAACAATGTTATTGTGCCCAGAACCTTGAGGAGCGATGACGCATAAGCAAACTGTGAGAAACCAGCCTATGAGAGTAGGGAGACAAACTCTCGATGATCTTCTGAATCGGATTCTCCTGCCACTTTTTCGAGTAACAGAGGGGGTTGATGAGAAAGAAGATGGTGGAAAAATGATAGGGATATCACTGGTCGCCGTGGCGGTCATGGTTGTCATATTTTCCCAGCTTCGTGCAGCTATTCCTTGGACCAAATTTTCTCTCTCTCTCTCTCTCTCTCTCTCTCTCTCTCTCTCTCTCTCTCTCTCTCTCTCTCTCTCTCTCTCTCTCTCTCTCTCTC